TGGCAGTGTAAGTGTACTAGATCTACGTGGGAATGGTATTCATGATGGTCAGGCATTGTCCTCCGTGATTTCAGCCATGTCTGCTAGTCTTGTGGATGTGTATGTCGGTGGTAACCCTGTTGGTGTGAGTGGTTTTGTGTCGGTGTGCCGTGCACTTAGTCAGTGTAAGAATGTACATACTGTCAATGTCGTGAACATGTATAGTGATGGTGCTGCACCGTTGTCTGTACTCTGTGATATGTTGGAGCAATGTACACAGCTGAAAGTGTTGGAGTTGAATGGGAATGTGTTTGTGGGTAGTGAGGATGATGAATTGAGATTCATTGAAGCAGTGAAGGTGTGTACACAGTTACATACACTGTGGGTGCATGGCTGTGACTTGAGTGAGAATGTACGTTCTCAGCTTGTCACTGTGTTCACAGAGAGGGGGTGTCAGGATAGCTTGTTTGGTGTGTGAGTATGTAGACTGGTTGTGTGAGTGTAATGTGATTGTGACAATGTATGTTGTGTTGTAATTTGATCACACAGTCATGTAAACTCAGTAAATTTGTTGTAAATTCTTGAGACAATGTAAAGTTTTGTATTGTTTTGTTCCCCTGTATACCCCTAAACCCTGACCATGGATATGTTTTTTTGCCTGCTTTTCTTCTTGTAGATATTATGTTTTTGCTTGCTGCTTGCCTGCTTACTACTCTAATGTTGAGGACTGTTGTGAATAGATTTCTGATGTTTTCATGCCTATAATCATATCTGCTGCTACTGCTATGCTATGTTGTTTTTTCATCATTGATTTATGAACTGATAGTAATTTCTATGTGTGGTTACAATGTTCTATATGTAATTTTGTTTATTTTTTGTCATAGTTTGTGTAATCATGGAGAATTGGATTTAAAACAGGTTGCTATGATGGTTATATGTGTGTGTGTCTGTGTGTGTGTGTGTGTGTGTGTGTGTGTGTGTGTGTGTGTGTGTGTGTGTGTGTGTGTGTGTGTGTGCGTGAAAAAAATGAAAAAGACCAAAAAGTAGGGATTCACTGGCCAGAAAAGCCACTTCATAGCTGTGTGGTGTAGACCAGGCTGAATAGTGGCGGTCAATTCTTCAGCCTTGCAAGCTGTTGAATGGTGCAATCCCAGCACAAGCTGCTATGGCTTCTGCTGTAGCATCGCTATCATCGCCTCCGGCGATGGGCGTCCAATGGTCCAATGGTGTGTGTGTGTGTGTGTGTGTGTGTGTGTGTGTGTGTGTGTGTGTGTGTGTGTGTGTGTGTGTGTGTGCGTGTGTTGCAAGGCCCACTGTGGGGCATGTGGTCGGTGCTGCCGCTCTACTCGTGGCTTCTAAATCCATAGCTGCCAGAGATGGTTCTCTCGTTGTGCCAATTTAACATGGTCCACGACCACTCGGCGGACTTCCGACTTTCTGCCGTAGCTCGTCGTTTCCATGTGGTCGGCCCCGCAAGGGGACACGTGACCGTAATGGCAGTGTTTACCTGGACCAGGGCCAGATGTGTATGTGTGTCTGCACAAGTGTGTGTACGTGTGTCTGCACAAGTGTGTGTACGTGCGCCAGCACCCTCACTTTGTGTGCTTGCGCGTGTGTGCGCCTGCGTGTGTGCATGTGTGCGATCATGTGCGCGTCTGCGTGCGCGATTGTGTTTGCGCTTGTGTGTGTTTAAGGGCACGTTTGCGCCAACACCTTGCTAGCATGCGTGTGCGTGGGTGGTCAATCGCCTACACTTTCTTCGTGTGGTTGTTTTTGCTCGTGGACATTGTGTGCCTGTGGTGTGTGTGTGTGTGTGTGTGTGTGTGTGTGTGTGTGTGTGTGTGTGTGAGTGTGTTTGTGTGAGTGTGTGTGTGTGTGTGTATGACTGTGTCTGTGTGTGTGTGTGTACGTGCAAGCAACCACACCCTGTGTTTATGGCTGGGTTTGTGCGTGTTTATGCAATCAACTATTCTCTGGGTGTATGAGAGTCTGGGCAAGCAACCACACTCTGTGTTTTAGTGTGGACGTGCGTGCGTGCTTGCATGCGTGCGTGCATGCGTCTGTGTGTGTGTGTGTGTGTGTGTGTGTGTGTGTGAGTGTGTGTGTGTGTGTGTGTGTGTGTGTGTGTGAGTGTGTATGTGTGTGTGTGTGTGTGTGTGTGTGTGTGTTCGTGTGTGTGTGGTTTCGTGGGTGTGGGTGTGAGTGTGTGTGTGCGTGTGTGTGCGTGTGCGTGTGTGTGTGGGGGGGGGGGGTGCGTTTGTGTGTGTGTGTGTGTATGTGTGTGTATGTGTGTGTGTGTGTGTGCGTGATTGTACAAGCAACCACAATTTGTGCTTTGTATGGTTGTGTATGAGTGCTTGTGCATATAGCCACACTTTGTGTTGATGTGTGTGTTTATGTGTGTGTGTGTGTGTGTCTGTGTGTTTATATCTGTGTGTTTGAGGGAGGGGGTAGTTGTGTGTGTGTGTGTGTGTGTGCGTGTTTGTTTGTGAACGGTGGAGGCGAACCTCGCTGCTCGTTTGGCGCAGGCGTCCGGGCTGTTGGGTTTTCTCAGGTCTCCAGTATTTCAGTGCGTACATGTCTCGGTCCACACCAAGCTGCTGGTGTATTGTGCTATTGTCATTTCTGCTCTTAGTAGTAAGGGACGAGCGGGTTCTGGGCCAGGGGGCGCCCGGGTTCCAAAAAATGGGGTATTATTGAAAAATGGGGTACTAATAGTACCCCATTTTTGCGGTGAAAATTATTTTTGGTCCGGTTTTTTTGCTGATAAAAATATGTGCCAGGGGGTGCCCCTACCTAAAAAAAAAAAAAGGGGTATTATTGAAAATATGTGTTGGGGTGTTATGCTCTACCCTAAACAATAAGGTAATATGGTGTCATGATTATGTAAGTATAAAAGGTGTGTTCTTGAATGATGATCCAGTCAGTTTCAAGTTGTTGTGGTGCAGTGAAAATGGATTCTGAATTTGAGATCCTGTATGCTTATGTTCGTTCAAAGAAGCAATGTGCGCTGGAGGAAAAGAAGAAGAAGAAGAAGAAGAAGGAGATAGAGGAAAGTGAAGAAGTGTGTTATCATCGTGAAGAACAAGTTGAGCATGCTGGTCATACAGTTTGTTCTCAGTGTGGATTGGTAATGGCTGACATTTACATGCCCGAGGTAAAGTGGAGAGAGCGTTGTACTAGCATAAAGACCTACACGGATCCCGATCGCATTCAAGGTGTGAATCGTCATCTTGTACATTTTCTCAACAAGATCGACTTCACTTTACCGCATGCACAGTTTCACCCTGTTCAAGAGGCACTGCAAGCAATGAAGAAGTCCAGCAGCTATAAAAGCATGAACTATGCAATAGCATTATCGTGTATACTTCATGAGGATCATGATGCAGTGCGCACACTGCGTTCTTCTTTACCGCGCAGTAATGTATCATGGTTGAGAAGCAGCCGCATTACACAACCTCTTCCATCATGTTTTCCACTGATGTTTCTCCTACATCTCATGGAACACATCAAGGGTCCTCTGTCCGCTAGACAGCTGAACACTCTGAAAGTTAATTTGTCCTTGATGTCACCTGCAGACCTGTCCATGATGCATCTTCTAATAGATGCCTATTGTTGGCATGACTACAGTCTGGAATATTTAGTAGATCACGTGACCTCTCTCCCACCTGATCTTGCCAACATACTCTATCAATTTACCAAGACTGCAGTACGTCATCAATGTTAGCAATGCGTTGGAGATTTACACTCTCGGGAACCTGTTCTGAGACATGGTCGAGACACGTTCAGTCATGACCGAGACATGTTCCGACAGGTCAAGTGCAAGTCGTGCTGTGATTGGTTAAATCTTATCATCTGCTCACCGTGTCCTCTGATTGGTTGATTCTTGAACAATTTCACCGTGTTCTCCAAGGTCGTCACCTCCCATAGGATGTTATTTCAAACTCGGCGGCGGTCAAAAGGCTATATATGTGCAAGCACAGTCCTCCATTCACTCACAACTCCCTTTGTTGTTTCGTTGCTCAAGCCTTCTCTCTCTCTCTCTCCCTCTGGATCTCACTGGATCTCTCGTGACTGATATCATGATGGCCACTGATGCTGTTGTTGCTGGTGAAGATGTTGTGGACTGTTTGGGTATTGACCCGTTCGCTATCAAGACGATAAAGAAACCCGGTCTCTACAAGCGACGTGCTAGCCGTAATCCGAATCTGGAGCCTCTGCCTAAGATCAAGATGCCATCTCCTCGTCCTACCATACTACCAGGTGTCGCCACCATTATTACGGATGGGGCAGCAGAGTGTGTTCAAGCAATGTACAGCAAGACCGCCCACGACTATCATGTTGCTCCTGGCACCGATTTCTACTATACGCGCGGTGATTTACCGGGCATGCTTGTCAATGGCACGGTATGTGAAGGACGCTTTGGTCAACTTAAGCTGTACGTCCAGGCTTCACAAGACGATCTCATTCAATTCTTCCTGAAGACCTCAACACCTTTGAGACGTGCCGTGAGATCTCCACATATCAACAGGATACGGAGTAACATCTTCCCTGCAATGTACCAAGGGAAGAGTGTGACTGCTTTGTATCTCAAGCCAACCAAGGGTGTGCCCAACTTCCCGATGAACGAAGCGTGTCAGCTCTATCTGCATCCTTCCACTATATCTTTCAACAGGGAGAAGTGCGAATTCAAGGCATGGCTTTCGGCAATCCCCCTGATGTTTGTAGACTCACGGCTTTGTGAAAGGGATCACGACACCGTGCAAGACCTTCCCGAGGCTGAATTGACTCGACTGGTGATTGCATTCCTCAAGAAGTGGAGCACTGCTGACAACGTGACTGCTGACATTGCGTTTGACACAACGGTGGCGGCGGCAGCGTCTCTCCCTGACACCCTACCGGACAATTCACTGGACTTGAATCTGCTAAATGCTTAGTCTATCTTACCACATTGATTGATCAGAAAGACTTTATATCCTAACCTTTTTTTTTTTTTTTTTTTTTTTTCATGCTCTCTCACTCTCTCTCTCTCTCTCTCTCTCTCTTGCTAACATATCATCGCTTCATTAGATTACCACTAGCACACATGAGTATCATAATGATTTATTTGAGAAAGAAAATATTTCCTATCATAATTAGAACAGTGTGTGTGTGTGTGTGTGTGTGTGTGTGTGTGTGTGTGTGTGTGTGTGTGTGTGTGTGTGAAGATGGCGTACTGGGCTACGCATTTCCATAGGAGTGATGGGGAGGAGACTTCCCTCAAGCACATGCAAAGCATGCGGAATGATATTACCGAAATACAATCAGTTGTGGGGAACGATGACACCGAAAACACCTTGGTTCATGATGTGGAGAAACTGAAAGAGGTGAAAGCCGATGAGAGCAAAGTGGAAGATGTGGAAAACAGATCTACGCGCTACACAGATCAAGCCATAGCAGCTGATGAGCTGCACGTGAAAACAGATGGATCCGTGTCCATGGATGCTAACCTCAACATGAACGAGCATTCCATCTGTAATTTGGCGTACGATGATAGTTCTTTGACATGTGCTGTCCCTGCCGGTTGGGTCAAGAATGAAATCCAACAAGCATCATCGAGATTGCAAACTGGTATGGACACTGTGCGCAAGATGAAAGGACCTCGTGGTGATCGGGGATTGGGATGGCTTAGCGGAGGTGGCATGCCACTGAACTCTGTAGGGAGAAATGGTGACTTCTATCTCGATGCAACCACGCTCATCGTGTACAAAAAATTCAGCTCGAAATGGATGGCGTTTGGTCGGCTTCATGGATCAAGAGGTGAAGCTGGTCCACGTGGAGAACGTGGATTGATCGGTCCTGAAGGTGAGACTGGACCTAGAGGAGCTGATGGGCAAGGTGGTGAACGCGGTCAAAAAGGTGATCAAGGAATACCTGGTCCAGAAGGTCCCAGAGGTGAAGTTGGACCACGTGGTGAACGTGGATTGGTCGGGCCTGAAGGTGAGATTGGACCTAGAGGAGAAGATGGGCAAGACGGCCCACAAGGTGAACGTGGTGTGCAAGGTGATCAAGGAACCACAGGTCCCATGGGTCCCCAAGGAACCATCGGTCCAACCGGTCCTCCAGGAAACAGAGGTCCCGTGGGTCTCCAAGGAATCATCGGCCCCATAGGTCCTCAAGGAACCAGAGGCCCCATGGGTCCGCAATCAAATCAGAACCTATCCGATCCGTTTCATCTACTACCTCTCATTCGGAGAAACGCCTACCTCTACATATACAGTAAAACCTGTGACTACCGACCACCCCTTGGTGCCAGCAAAAGCGGTCTTTAGTAGCAGGTGGTCTTTAGATAGAGGTTTGCACTGTGTGACCATATATGGATCCCATTATATGATATGTATGTCAAAATGCAGCTAATACAATTCCCCAGGACTTGCGCAATGTAATTCTTATTTCAGGTCAAACAACACTTGGAGAGAAAGACGGAGAGATGGAGAGAGAGAGACAGAGAGAGAGAGAAGATTGATTTTTGCAGACTTCAAGTTCAGCTGCTACTTCTGAAGCCAGGACGGCAGGAGTCAAACGTTCCCTGGGGAAGTTTTGTTTTGCGCTGGGCTTCAAATTTGTTCATGCGATCAATCGTACCGACTGTCCTTGTTGTGACTTCTCGGTTGCTTGAACGCGATCCTTCAGCATCAGGACCTTGTGGTGCTGCTTTGTTTCTGGATTCCTTGATGCCATCGTCGATCCGTCTGTATGACTGGGGTGACAGAGCCGCCCAGTCTTCGTTTCTTCGTTTCTTCGTTTCTCGACCAGAGAGCGCTTTCGATGCGCTCTCCAAGACGTTTCCTATCATGTTTTTTCTTGACAGCGCTTGAAATTTTGACAGGTGTAGTGCAGTCCACACCGACTCCACAGCCAAAATAAATTACCTGCGTTCATTTGTTCAGCTGTAGTATCGAAAGATTCCTTTCAGGACCATGGAAAATCAGTAAAATTTCAAGAAGGAGCTTCGAGCAACATTTGATTTCCTACATCGCGGTCGCTAGTTACGGGTCAAAAATTGTCTTTGGGACAGGAAAAGGCGGTCGCTGGTCGCGTTCAGCAGGTAGTCGCTAGTCACAGTGCATTTTGAATGTGAGACCTTCCGTGCCTGGCGAAGTGGTCGGTAGTACCAGGCTGGTCGCTAGTCACGGTGGTCTTTAGTTACAGGTTTTACTGTACTCTCATCCTAGCAGATTTGAATCCGTCACCAGGGTGAGCAGAAACAGATACAGAGGGATAAATCTCGTTGACATGAAGGACAAGAGAATCAACGTGAACAGCATCGACATGTTCCGAGACGATCACTTCTACCTCAACATTACACAACCCAGCGAAGTTTCCATTAGAGAACGATTCGTCAATCTGTTTCACGACAACATGTCTTTTGCAATGTTCCAAGTAATTCAAGTGGACGCACCTGACCCTAGAAACATGGCATTGAAGGCATTCGATATCGATACTGTCGGAAATTTCAGCTTGGATAGTTTGTACGTGTTGTTCACTGCCACCCACATAAGCGGCAACTACTTCACGCGTCCCGGCCATTCATCATTCAACATACCCGTTTCGTCTGTAGTCAGCCAATTATCGGCGGCTTTGGATAAACCTGTGTCGAGTATGACGGATCTCTTGGGTACAAAGTGTGTCATAAGTTACGCTCGGAATTCAGAAGGCCTATTCACTCTATACGTAAACTCCATTTTGATACATTCCAACTTAGACACTGTCCCATTTTCCAGGACCAATGGAATCGAAGATTGCAATTATAGCATTGGTGGTACTCAATTCTTCAACGGCACTTCATCAAAGTTGTTCTGTCATTTGCACTTTGCAGAGAGTTTATCTTCTCACACAATCCAGCGCATCCACACAGAACTCATGGCACACTACGATATATGAAAGTGCTACTTTGATTGTACATAATATATAGCACACATGCTACACTACATTCTTGAGATGAAAATGAAAAATAAAACCTATCTATAGTGAGTGTCATCACAACACCAGAATGTCTGTGATATTGACAGTGGCGAACAACACGTCGGGCGTGAGCAGGGGATTGCACAAACCGAACTTTACTCTAAATGTGAAGGAGCTCGATACGCGTGATAAAGTCCTGCATGTTGAATCGGCTCAGTTTGAAGTACACTTTGAGAACATAGACGAGGCAACGAACAAACTCTATGTGGTACATGGTGTAGAAGAAGAAGAAGAAGAAGAAGAGGATAGACTTTCCATCAAGACGGGAACATACAGCGATGTAGACGATTTGGTGTCTATTATCAATGCCACTCTGAAACGAGCAGGACACGGAGACATTGTGTTTTCCTACTCTCGTCACACCAGCCGCATAAGTGTCTCGGTACCCAGGAATAAACGGTGCTTGTTGAAGAAGGACTCACCCGCATTGGTGCTGGGTGTGGGCACTATTCTCAAGCCATACACGATCGAGGGATCTCACACGTTCCCGTTCGCTGTGGATCTGACGAAAGGCAGAAGACTTGTCCTGCTCTACACCGACCTCATTGGACCTGCTGTGGAGTACGAAGACAATACTGATTCGAGGGTGCTGAAGACTTTTCTTATTCAAACCCTCAACGGTTTGAATAACTACGTGTTCGGGAAAGAAGACAAACGACTGCTGCTTCCACACGAAAACGTGACTAGCATTTCGTTCTGGTTGAAATTCAACACCGGTGAACACATTACTTCCGGATATCCCGTCTACCTTGATCTTCGGATCACCAACACAACTACTTAGATGGATCTTCCAGATGTTCGTGTCCGTCACGTGCGTGACATGGTGGAGGATATAGCAAAACGAAAGAAATTGGAGAGCGAAAAGGTGCGTTGCCGGGAGAAGTACGTGATTTACAACACTGCAATCTTGTCCTTTCTCATACTCATTCAAACCATTCTCAACATTCTTCAAGGGAGTGGTGCCGTATCTGGAGAACATCGCATTCGAATCATCGCCATCAGTAGCACGATTATCGGCGTGATCATGGCATGCATTGGTAAACACGTTCTCGACACCAAACGTCAACTTATCACGTGTATCGAACAACTGCAGCAGATGGAGAGAGCTGAAGACTCGTTCATGTTGGAATTGGGCATTACTCTTGAAGATGGGAAGCTCACTAACGAGGAGCATCAACGATTGATATCGATGATGAACGACTTTCGCAAGACACTGGATATTGGATCTTTGAAAAAAATTCACCCCTATTATAATGTGACTCGCAAGAATGGCACAGGAGATATACTCACCACAAGCTCCGGAGTCCTTCACGGGACTCCTGACCAACACGAAGATCGTTCAGAAGAACATCCTCGACAGGACGGAGAAGAAACTCTCGTTGCTTGAGGGTAGACGCGGAGTACGACTCTTTTCCACAGCAGATCGATCACCACCATCCCTGAACAATGAACTAGACATCTCGTCGCCGAATTTCATTGCTCTGGGGGAGAGCTATTTCATCGTGAAAATGCGCTATAGTGTCAAAAACAATCTCAATAACCAGCCTGGAGACTACACGCGATGGGTGTGCACCACGTCACCAGCCTTTTCGTGGTTCAAGAACATTCGAGTGGAGATCAACGGAACAGAGGTCACGCAATCGAGTAAAGTTGCCGACATGCAAATGGTTCAGCATATCCTCAGTCTAATGGAAAGCAGCAGCGAACGCCTTCAGTACGTGGACTCGGATCTCTACGGTCTACAGAAACTGGATCCGCAAAGAGCATTGAGAGGTGTGGATTTAACGCCCTATCAACTTGGTGTGAAGCGTAAGCATGGCTATGCCTTCGAAACAAACGCTGCAAACGCTAATGCAGCACAAGCACCGGATTTCGTCGATGATTTCACACTCAGGCGTGCACCCACCGTCGAGCTTGTCACCAACGAAGGCTTCTCCAACACGGTTCAGGAAAATGCACTTCGTGCAGCTGTTGGACGGTTTCAGTACAAGCTGAGACCCTTCCTACCGTTTTTCAATCAGGACGATGCTTGGTTACCCCCGGGTACACAGGTGAAGCTTCGCTTTGATCTGCCACAATCCGAGCTTTCCAGATACATCATGCTTAGCGATCAAGGCGGTGGTGCCAACAGTGCTCTGAGCGTCGGTGATATTGAGATCGATCTACTCCAATTGGACTTTGTGTACACTACCTATCGCATGGAACCCAATCTCACCGATCGTGTACGCCTTCCCAAACAACTCTATTTCCACACGTGGTGCCCTCGTCTCATACAAAAGAGCATTTCAGATGATGCTGGTACACTGGAACTGCTTCACAATGCGGACATTCCACGCCGGATGATCCTGTTCTTCACAGATTTGACTCATGGTACACAGCCAGCATTGGCTGGAGGTGAAGCATCGCATTCTTCGAACAGACTGGCCATGATTCATGCAAATCTCAGTCAACTTCGTGTCACTGTCAACGACCAGACGCTCTTTGACAACCCGCTCAAGTTCCAGTGGGATGTGAGTCGTAATACTGAAGGGCAATACTTCTACGATTACAACAAATCCTCCTACCTGCGTGGCTACAATCTGGTTCAAGACTTTTTCGGCAAGACGTATGGAACGCAAATCCCCATCACCGCTGCAGATTACTGCAATCACTACTTTATGGTGCCTATCAACTTGAATCTGGATCGGACCACAGACAATCCAAGATCGAGAGGAAATCTGTCCATCGACTATCAATTTAGCGACGTGACAAACGCCCCCGTGAGGAGACCTAGCGAAAATGGTGCCTCGATCAAAGTCAACCTTCTCTGCATGGACAAGTACTTGTACACCATGAGCAAAGATGAAGGTATCAAAGCCGAAGTTGTATGAATTAATTCCGACCTAGTAGTAAAAGGGCATCATGGAAGGTGGTGACCTGGAGACCAGACATCGTGTCTACGGTGGTGATTTGAAAACATCGAGTCGACAACACGGTGGATTCTTCTGGAAAAAGAGCTTCTGGAAAAACCTAATCGGTGCTGGACCGGATGAGATGGAAAAGCAGATGGCGGAACCCACGACAAAACAAGATGCAATGCAACGCTGTGGACTTGGACCCCTGGCTGCCATGGCAGGAATGACACTTCTTCCCATGCTTTTGGGGAGAGGAGAGTCCGGAGACATTGTGGAAACGCAAATGAAAACAGCTTACAACCCTGCCATGCACCGAGGAGGTCTAGCCATTCCACCAGGATTAGCCGCCA